CCGAGACGGCCTCAAAACAGCTCAAAAGGCTCCGAGTATTAGCCATCAGGGCTCCAAGAGGCCCTCCAAGAGAGCCTGGGGAAGCAACAACCATTGATCTTTACTGGTTGTCGAACGATTTTGAAGATCTCGCCTGTTCGGGTTCCCACCCAAGACGGCCCAAGAGGCCTCTGGGAAGCCGAGATCGATCAAGAGCCTCCCAAAATGGCCCCTGCCCTACGGCCGAGAGAAGCACCCAACACGGCCTCCGCGTCGGACCGTCCAATCGCCTCCCCAAGACGGCCCAAAAAGTCCCCAGAGGTCCTCAAGAGGCCCCAGGAGGCCCACAAGAGGCCCCCAAGAGGCCTCCAGGACACTCCCAGATGGCCCCCTGGAGGCGCAAAGTGGGCCCCATGAAGTTTTCTCCTCCTCGTCCTCATGTTCTCCCTTCCCTCCTCCTCCTCCTCCTCCTCCTCCTCCTCCTCGTCCTCCTCCTGGGGTACCACGCATTCAATACAACATACGCACAATGTAAAGAAGGGTCACGGTCAATGGGGGGGAGATGGGACCACCACACGAGGTACTACGCGTTTAACAGGGCAGCTGGGAACACGCTGCTATCACCATCGCTCATATTCGGCCGCCACAGCTGATCTGGCTCAACGCTGTCCTAGGTGCGCACTGTGGCGCACTAGCGGGGTTTCTCGGAGTGTGTCACACGTGGTGGCCATGGCCTCCACTGGCAGCAGCCAGCCATGGCCCTGCGGGCGTTGCAACACGGGCTCCAGTAGTACAAGATCACAAGCCGCAGAGAGCACACGAGAAACGAAACGTGTCCGTAGCCATTTTGGCTCTTGCGGTTTGTCCGAGGGCCCGCCCCTTGGCATCTCTTGCGCATTGCCCTGTCGCTCCTCGCTGCATCTCGCCATGGGCCGCGGTTGCAGGGGCGGCCTCACGGTGCGCCACGGGTGCACCCTCGCGCATGTCTCCACGGTCGCCGAGGCTGTGCAGCTCATGGCGGAGCTCCAAGCGGTGCGCGCCCGGCCTGGTCCTGATGCGGCGTGCGTCGAGGGCCAGTCGATCGTTCTCGCTGGCATCCAGCTGGCCGAGCTCATGCATGCGCCCACCGTCGCGAAGGGCCTCCAGCACTTTCGCGGGCTCGGTGTTCGAGTTCCTGGTCACCTGCATCGTGCAGTTCGGGAGCTCGACGCAGCGGCGTCTCTGCTTCGTCATCCTGGCTCAGCGGAGGCAGTTGTCACGCGCCTGCGCGATTGGATCGACAGCTCCTCGTGCAAGGCGGACACCCACGGCGTGGAGAACACGCAGTTCCACAAGGGGCACACCAAGAACGACGTCGTGAGCGGCCAGGGCGAGATCATGATCTCGGAGATCACGAAGCTCGAGGAGCCGATCGGCTTCCCGAAGATCAAGGCGGACTTCAACTGCGTGCTCAACAACTCGGAGCACGGCTGGTCTGCCACGGCGGAGAACGCGGAGTTCGAGCCACTCATGAAGCTCATGAAGGAGGCGCTGGGCGACAAGGTTGAGGTCTCCTCGGGCGTTGCGGGCAACAAGTCCGACGACGATGGCGGCGACGCGCAGACGGACGGCGACAGCCACTCGCTGCGGGAGAACGCGCGTCGCGCGGCCCCGATCGTGGGAGAACGCGCGGAGCGCGGCCCCACGAGCAGCGCCGCGGACACGCAGTGCATCACAGACATCAGCGAGATCTTCCTGGACAACACTCGGTCCCGCAAGGGGGCCACCAAGAATGACAACGTGACAGACGACGCCGGTCCGCCGGTGACCCAGTGTGTTGGCACCCTTAAGCCCAACATGCACCACATCGACACCGTCAAGTTGGAGCGCATGGCAGACACCGATCGCGTGCTCACGACCTCGGAGTACGACTCGTCTGCCACGAAGCGCATCTCATACGCCCACGAGAAGCTGCCTGACGCCTCGCTGAACGGCATGGGCGCGGGCAGGAACAAGGGCAAGTTCGAGGGCAAGGCCAAGGGCAAGGGCCTCTTCGCCTTCCCCACCTGAGCTGCAGCACGTTGTTCCTCGCCCACAAACGAGCGAGGCCAGACAGTCGCGTTACTTGCGAGCTCAGGAGGCTCTGACTAGGCCCGTCCTGGCCCACTGCCGTCCTCGGGCGGCATGCTGTGGGCCTGTGAGGGGCCACTCGCCACGCGGCACTGCCCTCGGATCCCACACGGCACGCCGAGGCCCGCCTGGCCACCCCAGAGGAGGGTGAACTCGGCCATAGCTGCTTGCGACTGGCCTGTAGTTGGAAAAAAAAAGCACACGAGAAACGAACCTGGCCACGAAAAAGATTAAGGCGGCAAACGCTGCGGATGGAAAAGAGTGTGCATCGACTGCGGGCTGGAGCTGAGAGAAGAGGAGTGGGAAAATTGGAACGATGAAGCAAAGACACTGCTTGGAGGAGAAAATAACATTTCGATAGAGCAGGTCTGCCGAGAACAAAATAAGAAAACAAAAGGAGCCGCGCGGGCAGCCCGGGCACTAGGACATATCAAAGCTGCTCAAGCACTACTGGCAAAAGAAGGAGGACCAAAGAAACAGTCTCGCACACAAACGAAAAATATCGCCATAGAGAAGTCGAAAGAGATGGCAAAGGCGCTGCTGGAGGAAATTCAAGTGGATAGAGGCAGATTCACAGCTGTTAGCAAAGCAGGAGCAATAATGACAGAGGCTCTTCGCTGCGCAGGTAAATTCGACATCCTGCTCAACAAGTACATGGCCATGGACGTCAATGACGAAGATGCGCTGAAGGTGGCAAAACAAGAGTTGGAGGAGAAAGGGATCGAGCTGCACGAGATGGGCGACTACCAGACGGCGAAGAGCAAGGGGGAGACGGGGAGAAGCAGCCAAAGCTTCTCAAGGCGCTGGACTTCGCGGAAAGTGGAGCGACAACATGCAATTGCTCAACGCATGCAGGAGGGGCACTGGATGGGACGAAAAGAAGAGAGGAGGGAGGAGTTTGCTCGTGTAGGCTCGCCTTCCCGAAAAAGCTGTGGTGGAGAGGCCCCTTTCCCAACTCGAGAGGGGGCAAGTGGCAGTTCTGGTACAAAGTGGACTGGTTGCAGCTCGTCCAAGCGCAGGAGAGTCACCCAGAGGACGTGCTCTTGAAAAAATGGGTAGGCAAGATGAAGGAAACGTCCGGGGCCGACTGCGAAGGGTGGCCAAAGATCGGGTGCGGGTGTAAGTTCCTCCCGTTCAAGAGCGGGCCGTGGATGGTGGTGGTGCTCAAAGTAGGAAACAAATGGGAAGCGTTCATTGCTGATAGGCTACCGCAGCAACTGGACGACGCCATCAAGGAGTGTTACTATCAGTTCTTACACGAGACCCATAAGATGAACCCAGAGGAGCTATTCGACCTGATCCCCGTGTGCTTCCCGATGACGCACACAATAGAAGATTGTGACCTCATCGCAAGGTACCCAGTCAACGCATGGGAAAGATCAGGGAGGAAGGCCTTTACTGTGCAGAGCTGGTGTGGGCTGGCGCTGAAGATAGCGAAGAATGACGAAGAGAACCTCCGCAACGTGATGAAGGTCGCTATGAAGGAGCTGAACAACGAGGACAATCTCGACCTAGAGAAAGCGAAGAGGCTGAAGGAGCGCAAGAAGCTACGAGACAGCACGCAGACCATGCTGGATGGCACCGAGATCTTCGCGGCAAATTTGGGCTACCCCAAATCGGAAGAGACGACTACGGCCAGCTCCTCCAGCGGCCACCAGTGAGCGCACCCACTGGAGCCTGCTGGTATGCCGAGGGAAGCATTAGCGAGGTTTCTCGGAGTGCTAATCGAAGCAAGCTGCTAGATTACCGGGCCCACAGGCACTCAGGAGGAGCATTAGCGAGGATTCTCGGAGCGCAGCTCATTACAGACAGAATGGACATCACGGAGGGCTCGCACCGCCATCGCAGTGGGAAACATGTTTAGAGTACAGACAGGTACACTACTGCAGAGTGTTGAAGGAGAAAAGAGTCATCATCACAAAGCCCACCAAAGGGCTCCTCAATGGCCCTACCATATACTGTGACTACCAGTATGCTCTACCTCACATGCGCTTCGAGGGGGACTGGTGGGATACTTCAACAGGGTGTCAAAGTACAGATGCGTCATTACATGGGACATCTCTCAGAAAGACCGAGACGTGAGCCGAGCGGGAGAGGGGAGCGCGGAAATAAAATGGTTGAAAAAAACAGACCCCACATCAACAGCTTGGGGTCTCGGGCCTTCCGTCCCTCCTCCCTCTCCTCCTTTTGCGTTCGAGTCGTCGTCTAATCCCCTCCCTGGCTTGGGCGCCCTGCTAAGCCCGCGCGTCCCCTTCCCTAGGGCACGCGGAAAGGCCAGCAGCCGCTCCCCCCACACTGACCCGCAGGGACTCGTGATGTAAGGTACCGAGCCTCTCTTACGGGGCCACCTCGGAGCTCGGTCCTTGAGCTACGTGGTATGCCCCCTGCCGGCCCTAGTGAGAAGCCAGAGCTGTAGCACAACCAATCGCAGGGGATTTTCACAGAAGCGCGTAAGTCATCTGAGCAGGTGCTCTGACGTTGCACCCCTTTTATGCGGATGTCCTTGTCTTTGTCATCCTCCTCCTCCTCCGCCGCCACCGCCTCAGCCTCCGCCTCCGCCTCCGCCTCCGCCTCCGCCTCCGCCTCCTCCGCCTCCTCCTCCTCTTCCTCCTCCTCCGCCGCCGCCGCCGCCTCCCCCCCCCCCTCCGCCCCCCCCTCCTCCTCCTCCTCCTCCTCCTCCTCCTCCTCCTCCTCCAACTCATCCGCCTCCTTCTTCTTCTTCTCCTCCTCCTCCTCCTCCTCCTCCTCCACCAGCTTATCTGACACTCGCCATCGCTCGGACGTCTGTTTCCCGTGCATCTTTGGATGTCGTGCGTATATTTGTTCTCAAGATGGCCCGAAATGCTCCTCGCTGGTCCCTGCCGAGAAACAATGCACCCGTCGAGCACGGCGGCGGCAAGCGCGGTCGCCGCCTGGCCGCCCCGGGAGCCCACCACCAAGCAGCCGCTGCGCGAGGCCGCGCCGGTGGCCAGCAGCTCGCTGGCCGCGAAGCTCTGCAGGTTCGGCCCGCGGCGGCCCTGCTGGGCGGCCGCGCGCAGCCGAGCATCGTTTGGCGATGGACTGGGTGATCCTCCCCTTCTCGATCCTCGACCCCTCCTCGATACGTCCTCGAACTCCTCCTCCTCCTCCTCCTCCTCCTCCACCACCACCACCACCACCACCACCACCACCACCACCTCCTCCTCCTCCTCCTCCTCCTCCTCCTCCTCCTCCTCCTCTTCCCCCCCCTCCTCCTCCCTCCCCCCTCCTCCTCCTCCTCCTCCTCCTCCTCCTCCTCCTCCTCCTCCTCCTCCTCCTCCTCCTCCTCCTCCTCCTCCTCCTCCTCCATCCCTCTGCCTCCATTTCTCTGCCTCCATTCCTCCGCCTCCATTCCTCTGCCTCCCCCACCCCCTGGGCGGCGCGGGCTTGGCGCGGAGGACCACCCTCAGGGTAGGGCGTTCGGGGGGCGGGCGGCCGCCCCAGATTCCCCACGTCGTGATCGGTTCGCATCGTCGACTTCGGAGGGGTGGCAGCGGACGTCAAGCAGTGGCAGCAGGACGGGGAGCGCGGCAGCGAGGGCAGGAGCACCTTCCGCCCTCGGCAGGGAAAGGATCAAGGGAAGGGGCTTCCCTTCGACGATCAACTAACCTGGGATGACCTGGGCACACGGCGGCGAGCGTGCATGCAGGAGAACGGGAGCGGGACGGGCGAACCTGACGAGGAGGGTCGTTTGTGACCCACTCGGCGATACCCGGGTCCCAGGTCCTCCGGTGTGGGGGGGGGGGAAGGTGCCGGTCGATGACGTAACTTTTTTGCTTTGGGCAGCCCCACGTATGCCCGGACGTACCAGCCAGCCGACTTGCTTTATGCCGGGACCGACCAGCTAGCCAGCCAACCGACGTACGCCCACGCATGACCTAACCTTCTTGCTTTGGGCGCACCTCCCTCGGACCTGCGCAGCCGACAAGGTCGTCAGATTACCGGTAACCCAGATGGTCGCCGGACCCACCCAAAACAAAAATCTCAAACCGACTGGCCTGCGCTTCGGCGCACTTGCTGTACTGACATGCCGCCGTCCGTGGCCCTTCTACACTCGACCTGCGCATGTTCATGCTCCTCCTCCTCCTCCTCCGCCTCCTCCTCCTCCTCCGCCTCCGCTTCCGCCTCCTCCTCCTCCTCCTCCTCCTCCTCATCCTCCTACACTGCGCCGCGCAAGGCTCACGTCTACCAGATACCATGTCAATTATGAAGTTCACTATTTGAACGTACAAATCGACATACGGAGCGCCTGGCGTGTTATGCCGTGCCACTGGCTAGAGAAGAGCGATCTCATTAGTAGCATTGAAAGCTTCATTAGTTCTTGGCGACCCGCCCTGACAAGTGGGGAGGTACATGAATACTCCGACACAAGGATAGCTTCGAAGCAGGAAGAGGGGGGAGGGAAACGGGAGGGAGGATGGAGAAGGGAGGCCAGGACGAGTGTCTCTTCAAATCCAGCTTGGGGCCTCGTCGGGGCCTCTTGAGGCCGACTTGGGAGCCTCTGAGCCCTCTCAGGCTTCCCCGAGACGCCCTGGTAATCTCATGTTGTTCCCACAAAGCCCCGAAAAGAGCGCAGGAAGGCCACAATAAGGACCCAAGAAACCAGGGTGTCCCCAACGACAGTGGGATCCTTGTCGGGTGCCTCCTGGGCCGTCAGCGGGGGCCATTTAGACCCTCCCCGAGCACTGCGGGACCCGTATGAGCGAAAATCAAAAACGGGCCTTACGCGAGATGGCACAGCGACCTTACGCCGCAGCTCACCGCGGGCCGCCAGCGCGGCACGCTGCATGGGAAACGCGGGTGGTTACGCGCGACCTTACGCGCGACCTTACGCGGGCAACTTCTGCGCTAATGTCGGTGCAGACGAACCCCATGCTTTTCCGTCGCTCAATGGACATTTCGAGCATTTCCCCTCAAAGACAGCTCCAAAGACCCCCTGAGGCCCCTGAGGCCCCCGACCCCAGGGAGCCATCAAGAAGACGAAGTCTGCGATTCATGTTTTTCTGCGTCGCTCCTCTGGAGACGAGGTGCAGAGCTCCTTTGGGTCGTCCTGACGTCAAGGTGACAATTGCTTCCCCAGATAACGGTCATTACCAAGAGGAGGGGGGGGGGATCGGGCGGGAGGGTAATGGTAGCGGCGGCCACGGCGTGCACCCGCCAGGGTGCGTCCGCGCCACCGTCGCGTCAACCGCCTGTGTGCACCACAGCATGTAGCAGGGGGAGGGGTCCAGGCGTCCAGGCCCCCCCCCAAAACGATCGTTCGCGCCATCCAGGGGGGAGGGGTAGGGGGCCCGGGTAACGAGCGTCACCCTGAGAGGAAGAGCAGTGCTTACATCGAAGAAACAACCACATAAGCATAAACTGTTGAACCTCCGCGCGGATTTCTTGCATTCGCGCTGGACCCCCCCTCTCTGGCGCCGGAGGCGCCGTCAGGGGGGCCCAGGCGCGGATCCAAGAAATCCGCGCGGAGCTCCAAAAGTTTATGTTTATGTGGTTTTGTCTTCTTCGATTACGTCGTGCGGTCCGCGCAAGGAGGCCCGGGACTGCCAGAGCGGCAGCGAGAACGGGGCAGGAGGGGCAGGGGAGCGGAGGGGAGGCGCCCTTGCAGAGGAAGAGGAGAAGGGCCGTCGGGCAGCAGGGGAACCAGCACCTGAGAGGGCGCTTGACGATCAGACTCGGCGGCGAGCGAGGTCGGCCGGTCGACATATTGATAACGAGATCGATCGATAAGTCGTGAGACCGAGAGATCGTGATATCGACAGATCATTTGACGGTGATGCCGGGTCTGTTTCATAGTTCATCTGTGTTTTGGCATGGGCTCCTGCATTCCTTGGCCTCCCCTCTGTCGCTGCCCGCCGTCTGTCTGTCGGCGGCGAGCCAGGGGGAACGTGAGGAGGAGAAGGCCTTCTCAGAAGGCGGCGGGGCTTCTGAGAAGCCCTCGCGCCTTCTGAGATTTTTGTCTGCGTCTGCGGGGAAGGCTCATAACACTTCTCCGAAGGCGGCCGGGGGACTTCCGAACCGTCTGAGGAGGCCTTCTCCTTCTCACCTCCCCCCCAAGCTCGCCGCCGACAAACACCGCCCGGGAGAGACCACGTCAGGTGCTCACGCTGGGGACCTTCCTGGTGCCACTCACTCCGCTCGTGCGTCGCTGCATCGAACGTCCGTCGACTCCAAGTGAACTTGAGTCGAACGTGAGTCGAACGTGAGTCGGACCTGAATCGAACCTGGGTCGAACCTGAGTCGAGCTTGAGTCGAACAGATCCGAACCTTTGAGAAGGCCCGCCCCTTCTCGCTTCCACCCCAAGCTCGCCGCCGAGTCTTTGTCGTCCCCCCCCTCGGCCTCGCCTTGTCCCCGTCTCGCCCCCCCCCCCGGCTGCCCGGTTGCCCGGGGCGGGCCGTGGCAGGCCACGCGGGCGGTCTTCGGAGCCCCCCCAGCCGCCGCAGTGCTCGAGTAGCTCGGCGGCCACCGGGCAAAGCTTGTCGGCTCCGGGGGCTGGGCAACTGTGCGCCGTTGGTGGGGAGACCAAAAGGCACCAATACCGCTACTCTCCAGACCTCTCCCGTGGTGCGCTCTGACCAGAATCTCGAGGCGAATGCAGCGGTGGCAACGAGGGCCTCCGAGGACGGACGGAGGGTAGCGGTGCGGGGATATTTTTCTCCTCGGAGTTGGATTCCCGGGCCTGGGATCGACGACGCCCCGGGAGGCGCCAGCGCGGTACGGTGCACACAAGGTCAATCGATCGCGGAGGAGCCCCTCTCAGCAGCGCAGCGTCTCGAGAGCACCGAGGCCGAAGCGCTTCGTCACGCTCGGCCTCCGCGGCACCGCTTCCGGGCTTCGAGGACGGTCAAAAGCAGGGCGGGCAGAGAAAACAGAGTCCCCCAAAAAGGGTCGACAGCCCCGCGTCGCCCGCACCAGCACTCGCGCGACCCAGGGCGGGGGGCTCCCAGAAATCACGCGCATCGCCAGGGAGCCCCTGGGAAGTGAACAGACACTGAGTACGCAACGAGCGCAAGTGGCTGCGTGCCTGAAGAGTTTACGGCTGGCGTCGCTAAGGTAGCTTGCAACACCGATCTCTGAAAAGCACGCTATTCCTCAACGAAGGCTTCCTCCGTGCACGCGTTTCCTGTGAGGCGATCCCCCTGCGAGGGATCGTTCTGTGCACGCTGTCCCCCTGCCAGGGCTTCCTCGATGCACATGATTCCCAACATGGGTAGCGTGCAAAAACGCCATCGCACGCCATCTGAACCGCAGCCGATTTCAATCAGCCTATCTCAACAACCACAGGCTCTGTGCCCATCATGATCCTCGCTCTGGACTCTTCGCTCCCAGCGCTCGCATGGTAAAGGAGCCCTTGGGAGCAAGCCAGTCCGACCTTCAACAAACGCTAGTGGCCGCTCGGAAGAGGCAGGCGCAAGCATGAAGAGAAAGGGCGGAGAGAGTAAATGCGTTGGGTCACAGCCAGCACCCAGAATAGAAAAGCAAAAGGAAGCCGCTTCTTTTTGTCGAAATGGGACGGCGCGCAAACCATGCTGGGATCTGGCAGTCTAGCCATAAGCTCTTCCAGCGAACAGCATACATTGAGCCGCGCCAGCCATCGCGAACAATAACACGGCAAGCAATTGCCGCGCAACGCATACAAAAAGCCAAAGAATACAACACGCAAACAAAAACAAAGAAATAATACTTCCAAGCACAATGAACAAACAATACAAAACAAACGAACACATCATGACCATGGCCGCACGCAGGAAACCGATCTACACACGTGAACGCCCCTGCGCCACGCAACAAAACGTCGATGCACAAACGGCGCCCACACAACCGCTCTAAACCGCAAGCCACGACCACACTGACCCGCGGAACCGCTGGCAAAGGACCGCGCTGCCCACAAGCATGCGCACGACAACGCGCGTGATGCCTTTGAGAGCAAAAGCATCTGGTGGGCCTCTGCGATCCCCCGCCAAATCGAAAACACGCAGATTTACACGCAGTGCCGACGCGAAAGCGAGGGATTGCGGCAAACGACTGCACCTGGCGTCTGCGCTTATTCAAATACCTGGGGGGGGCAACGCGCCACTGCTCGATGGCGTTCCGGATGGCGCACGGGCGCTCGCTGTCACGCTCGCTCGGCTCTGTCTGGTCGTCAGCGGCCTCGGCTGGTGTATCCATCTGCTGCTGAGGCTCATGAAGCTGCTTAGGCTGGTGGGGCTGATGAGGCGGGGCGACGCACAGCACGCCATCAGCTGTGGCATCATGGGGCGCATCCTGGAGGGCGGACGAGTGGAGGGGGGTAACTACATCGCCTTCCCAGAAACGCTGCCGCGTGAAATATGTGCTGCAGCGGGTTCATGTTGTTCTAAGGTTTGTTCGGGTGCGCAGTTAAACACGTATGTAATGTTAGAGTGTGTTATACATGTTTTCTGTGTTGTTGCCTTTTATGTGTTGCATCTTGGAACAATCCCAGATGTCATGGGCCATCTTGGACCCAAGATGGGCTTGACAAACAATTCAAAAAAAAACATGAATGTATCAAGGAATTCAATTGTTTGCGCAAGCCGTCTTGGGCCCTAGACGGCCTAAGCCATCTTGGATGTTCCCAAGATGCAAGACATACAAAAATAACAAAAAAACAAGAACACATATATAAATAAAAGCAAAGCCAACGACATGATATAAAAAAGGACACACATATACCGTCGGCAACACAGACGGCCACCACGTGCGTTACCCCAATGGGTTTGGGATCCGAAGTTCTGTAAGTCGATCGCCGACGGGAAATTGATGAACGCTGCCATGAAGTCGCTGGCGTTGAACCCCGGGCCAAGCTTCAGGCCAGCACGAGGCGCGCCAACGAACGCCGACGCGGCATGAGCACCGCTCGGGGTGCCCCCGTCGAAAGCGACGACGCTGCCGCCGTCGGCGGCGTCAGCGAGGGTGAAGGTGGGCGAAGGGGGCGAAGGGCGAACGTAGTGAAAAGAAAAACAAAGGGCAGGTGATACAATAAAAAACATCGAGGCCCCCTCTTGAAGCTTCCTCGCAATTCATTCAGGAGGAGAAGGAAGAGGAGGAGAAGGAGGATGAGGAGAAATAGAGAGAAGGAGAAAAACTTTGGCAGAAATACGCACATACGCACTTTGCTCCCTTTCGTTCACCGCGAGCTCTACTCACCACGGTATTGTGATCGGCTTTTCGTCGGTGGATCGGTGATTTGCGTGGATTGACTGATGTTCGCCAAGGCGTGTTCTATGTTGGCGTTGTTGCTTTGTTTTGTTTGTTTTTGGTTTTTGACGGAATGCTTTTATTGTTTGTGGTTTGTGTGCTTATTGCTTGTACTGTTTGTTTTTTTGCGGGGCAATCGTTTTCAAGAATTACTGTTAAGCCCATTTCGCGATGGCTGGCGCAGCTCAAGGCATACAATGCCACATTAATGTGCCATGCAGCGGTAACCCAACCATGGCTCCACGCCCCCAGTCCAACCCGCCTGCGAGGTCAACAGGTCGTCTGATCGCGCATGGGATATAGGCGTGCGCCGGAAGACCGCGACGCGTGAAAAAGGGGCTTCTCTGCGCCCCTGCGGGTGACCCTGGGTCCGAAGGACTGCCGAGGACTGGGGCGGGTCAGAGGTTCGTGCGCAGGCTAACATAAATTACGGATCTCTGGCGCGTGGGCGCGGAGGGGGGAGGAAAACCCGCGCGGGGTGGACGCCGCGCGTGCCCGCCCGCACCGCCCGCGCGGCCCGCGGCGGGTCGTCGCCTGCGGCCAGCCCTCCGGGTAGCAGTCGTACGCCGCGTGCGACCTCCGCTCGGGCGGCCCTCCTGCGTCCTGCTGGCCCATCTCTGTCCTCCCCTCTCCTGCACACTCCTCCTCCTCCTCCTCATCATCATCCTCATCCTCATCCTCATCCTCATCCTCATCCTCCTCCTCCCTCCCTCCCTCTCCCTCTCTCCCTCTTCCCGCCCCCCTCCTCCCTCCTCCTTGCCGTTGCCCAGCAAGCGCCCAGGCACGTGTCGGGTGAGTTCTCGTTCAAGACCCTGGTGCCTGCGATCGATCTCCCAGTCGACAAGCTGGAGGAAACTTCCTGCAAGCTGCGGAGGCCGACCACTCGGAGGCCAACACTCTTACCACGTTCTTCGATGCACTGCGCGAGCTCAAGACGAAGGCCAGGCCGCCACCGCCGCAGCCGCCTGCTCGTCCACAGCAGCCTGGTCAGGCTACCTCGCCTGAACAGCTGCCTTCGCAGCAGCAGCGCAGGAAGGCGGACGAGCGAGCAGAGCCCACGGACACCGACGACCTTGAGGAGCTCAAGGAGTTCTCTCGACAGCACACGGGGAGGGAGCCCCCCGAGGAGGAGGAGGCAAAAGTGCGGGCGGCTGTCCAGAGGTTGTCGCGAGCGTCGGCTACGCTTGCGAAGCGGCGCCGACGGGCGGCGCAGCTGGCCTGGGGCATTGCGTTGTCGCAACCTGCAGCGTGACGCAGCTGTTCGTTGTCTTCGTGGTCGTGCACGGCCATGCTCGCACCTGACGCCACAAACGAGGAAGCAGAGGGCACAACGGCAGGCCACACCTTGTCAGGCTGCTCGCTACGCTCACCCCTGACGCCTCGAGCGAGGGAGGGAGCAGAGGGCACAAGTGGATGCGGTGGCAGGCCTTCTGGTTCGAACTGATGCGCCACGCGTACATCTTATGGGGATTTGTACTTCAGCCTCGACCCCTGACGCTGTAATGCAACTGGCGGTCAACCCGACAACGCATATCTGAGCCCGCGTTGGTCCGACGGCGCAGGATCGCGTTTCCTTAAGACCAACCTCAGCAAGGCGCAGCTCAAACCTAACCCGCTGCAGCAGGGGGGGCGCACCCCTCGCACCGACTCGACTGGTGTCCAAGTTAGTTCAAGATTCGGAATGTGCCCTGCCGTGGTAAAGCTTGATGTACGAATGAAGCATGATGTTTATGTGCTTGTGTATCGTCCGCATGTGTAGGAGAAAGAAGCATAATAAAAAAAAAGAAGGCCGAACCATACCGAGGGGCCTCACAGGAAGCCCTCCTCCTCCTCTCCTCCTCCCCCTCCTCTTCCTAGTCTTCATCTTGTTATAAGTAGCATTAGTATCATTGGTATTATTATTACCATCATCATCATTATTATTACCATTACTATGATTTTTGTACTGTTGATAGTCTTATTATTATTAGTAGTAGCAGTAGTAGTAGTATTATTAATAGTATAATTATTATACTTAGTATTCATATGATGATGATTAGTATTATTAGTATTAGTATTAGTATCATTAACATTCTTATCCATAATAATATTAGTATTATTCTTATGTTGATATGATGATGACGTTTACAATTATTAGTATTATTCCTCCTCCTCCTCCTCCTCCTGCTCCTCCTGGCGCGGCGAGGCACGGTCTTTCCCGTCGCCGCGCTTGCGCGCCATTTGGGAGCTCGTCCAGGCAGGCGACGACGAGGAAGAACACCGTGGCGGGTACCGCCCGGACGGGGCCCGGGCACGGATGCCTGGGCCCCGTCCGGCTAGTCAGCCAGCCCCTCCGCCAGCCGGGCGGCGGTCGTCGGGGCTTCCTCCCCGCGCACCGCCGTGCGGAGCTGCCGAGCGACGGCGCGGTGAAGCGCCGCGCTCAGCTCGGCGCCCCAGCGCCTTGTCAGCGCGCCGGCCGCGGCCTCCGCCTCCTGGCCGTCGCCCAGCAGGCTCTGCGCCTGGTCCCGCGCGAGCCAGCGCAGGTGCCGCAGCGCTGCCTGCCCGAGGCGGCCTGCGGTCTCGTGCGCCAGCGGCAGCAGCGGCCAGGGCACGCGGTGCCCTGGGTAGCGGCGCCGCTTGTCGGCCTCTGCGGCGGCGTTGACCGCTCCGTCGCAGTCGGCGGCTGCTGCCAGGGCCCGCGCGTCGCCTGGGACGCTGTAGCGGACCGTGACGTCAGCGAGGAGACGGGGGCAATCCCCTCGCCGCGCCTCCAGGTCCAGGAGCGCCTCCTCCCGCTCCACCGCGAGCGCCGCTCCGCAGGCCGCGCGCGGCCCAGGCGGCGGGGCGTCGGCGGTGCCGTGCACCGCGCAGGCCGCGGAGGGGCAGCGCCAGCGCCACCTGTCCCAGGCGGGCACTGGCACCTGCTGTGCTGTCCGGAAGCCACATTCCTGGTGGATGTGCTCCCAGACGCCCTCCAGGTCGCGGCTCCGGGTCTTGGTGCCGCCCCCGCAGGCGCACCTGTAGGCGTGGCGCGCCTTGCTGCAGAGCGGCTCTCCGCAGGCCTGCCCCGCCCTCGCGCCAGTTCGCAGGCGGTTGCCGCAGCGGCCCCCGGCGGGCGCAGTGTCTTGGCCCAGCAGGGCTCGCGCCGTGGCGTAGTAGTCGGCGTCCTCGAGTCGTTGGCGCGGCCCGCCGTTGGCAAGCTGCCAGCCCGCCGCGTGAGGCCCTCCGCAAGAGCGCAGCAATGCCCGCTCCTCAGCTCCCAGGGTGCTCCTGCTCCTCCCCCTCCTCCTCCTCCTCCTCCTCCTCCTCCTCCTCCTCCTCCTTGAGTGGTGGGCTCTACCTTTCATGTGTATCGTCCGCTTGGCTCGGCGGTGGAGCACGCGTCTGAATGGGGGCGCGCCGAGCCGCTGAGCACAGCAGTGGACGCTTCAGGAGTTCGACTCACAACGCCAACACCAGCCATTTTGGCTCAAGCCATTTTGGCTCAAGCCGTCGGGCGTGCGCGGGGGCGCGCGCGTACCGGCCGTAGCCCCTGGCACGTCGCTCAGGCGACCACGATTCCCCTGGGCGGGGAGCCCGCGTGGCATCGCCGCGCCGACTCCCAGAGCGCGCACGCGCGGGTTCTGCTACGCCTGGGCAAGGCGGCGGAGCTCCTGCGGGCGCACCACAGTGCGCAGCCCAGGATGCGCGGGCTGCTGGCGGGGCTCGGACTGGCAGCAAGCAAGCGGACGCCGCTGTCCTCGCTGGGCCGCGGGCGCCATGCTGGGGCTGACAAGGTGGGCACGCAGGCAATTGGGCATGCCGTGTGCGCTGCTTGCGGCGCGATCGGCCGGCGCCGCAGCGCGTCGCCGACGCGGCACGGGTGGCAGCCAAGGATTGGCAGTCCCGCAAGCCAGCGCCTCCGGCGCGCGAGATGGGGCAGCGGCGCTCGCAGCGTGGCGGCCAACAGCCTGCGGGGCCGGGTGGGCCCTCTTACGCGGAGATGGCGAAGCGTTTCCTCCCTTCGCCATCCGCGGGTGCGACGGCGCCAGCTGGCGACGCTCCCGTGCCGCCGCCTGTCGATGCTGGTCCGCAGCAGGAGCTGACCCCTCTGCAGCAGGAGCTCCGGCACTGGCGCGAACGCGGGGCCACTGCTCACCGCTATGGCGCGGAGCAGGACGTGGCGGAGTGCGACCGCCAAATACAGGTCCTGGAGCAGGCGGCCCAGGCAGCCCGGCCGCGGGCTGTCCGAGTGCAGGCCGCCGCGGACTCGCAGCGGGCGGGTGCTGCGAAGCTCCAGGCTGCCACCGAGGACTTGGCCGAAGCGCGGCGGGCCGTCCAGCACTTCGAGTGCGAGGCGGCCCAGGCGCAGCAGGCCCTGCGGCAGGCCGATGCAGCGCTGGCGGCTGCGCAGGCGGAGGCGGCCCCAGTGGCGGCGCCGCCTGCGGCAGCACCGCTCACCGAGGCGGGGGTCGCCGCAGCTTTCGACACGCTTGCGGCGGCGATCGCAGTGCTGCAGCAACAGGTGGGGCAGCCGGCGGAGGCGGCGGAAGCGAGGCCACCGCGCTTGTCGAGCAGTTTCGCGCTCTCGTCGCCGCCGCGGTGCGTGGGGCCGCTGTGGAGGCCCCTGCTGGTGGTGCGACGGCGGCCGCGGGCTGTTCCGGCGCCTCCGCGCCTGCCGCTGCGCCTGGCGCAGGCGATGCTGGCGATGCTCGCGGAGCTCCTGGCGATGCAATCGCGCACGTTGCCGGGGGCCCTGCAGCGCCTGGCGTCGCGCCGCCAGCCAGGGCGGACGGGGGCGCCGCCGCTCCCGAGGCGTTGCCGCCAGTCGGCTTCGACGGGGGCGCGCACAGACAGGTCGCGGCGCGAGGTGGCCGCCGCTCACCTCGCGGCGGAGGCCAGGCGGCAAGTCACTTTCGGCCAGCGCACGCGCCGCCTAGCCTTCTCCACGCCGCCAGGCAGCCCGCCGCCAGGCAGCCCAAGCAGGCGCGGACGCTCGCGGAGCCTCGAAAGCGGCGCAGCTGGCGCCTGAGCAGTGCCGACGCAGGCGTCGACCCCCCCGACGCCCGCCAGGAAGGCCGCCGCCGCCGTCGGGGCCTCCGAGGATGTCGACGCCTCCTACGCGGCCGCCGGGGCCGCCAGAGAGGCCGCTGGCTGCGCTGCTGCTGCGGGAGGCGCCGCTGGGGGTTGCTTGGCGGCGGGCTCGCCCGCCATCGCAGGGGCCGCCTGCGACGCTGCCGTTGGGGGCGCTGGAAGCGGTCCGCGGGGTTCGGCTGGCCCCCCTCCGCCAGTGGCCGCTGGCCGCGCTGCTGCTGGGGGCGCCGCCCGCCGCGGCTCGGACGGCTCGCCCGCTGCCCTCCCCGCGAAAACTGCCGGCCGCGCTGCTACTGGGGTTGCCGCTGGGAGTGCCGCTGGGGGCGGCCTGGTCTGCTCTCGTCTACCCCCGCTGATGAGGCCGCTGGAGGCTGCTGGGGTTTGCTTGGCTGCGAGGCCGCCGCTGGCCACCGTGCCGCTGCAGCCAAGCTCGCAGACGAATGTCAGGCAGCGCGCGCAGGCGTGGGCAGGCCGCGGGACCCCGCGAACCCTGCAAAGCGCGGGAGGAACCTTCGGCGGCCTGGTCGCGCTGGGATCCGCCGGCGCGGAGATGCATCGCCAAGGCCTCTGGGCGTGACCGGGGCGAGCTCATTCCTGGGCGCGCCCCTGCTGCGCGATTGCTTGGGGGGGGACAAAAGGCGGCATCACCATGATCTCAGACGACCAACGGAATAGCGAAGGCAGGCTTGAGCGACATCAACCTTGGGATTCTGAATAAGACAGCCAGGTACATCCATTTCTTGAGCGCTCAAGGTCGGGCGTGGCTGATGGGTGGCGATTGGATATTGGACATGTTCCTACTCGGGCCGTTCTTCAAGTATTCGCGCGCCATCGCGATGCACCGATCATCGCGCCCAACGTGATTGCAGTTTCAGCCAGGGCATGTGGTCGATTGCATTCGAAATCGCCTTTGGCTCTGCGGGCAGGGCCCCGCGAGGTCCAAGCGGACTCGCAGGTGTTCCCGCACTTGCCCGCCAACGAGGCGCTCGAGCTGAAGGAGCGGGAGTCGTGGATGCGAGCGCCTGCGCAGCCGCTGTCGAGCCGATGCCCAGGCAAGGTATTCTCGATGCGCGCCAATTCGCGATTGGGATGTTGCTCGCGCCCCGATGGTCGAGGCCACGGACAGGCAGCCGCCGGCCGCAGCCCAAGACGCTGCACAGGTGCGCCTCGAGGGCGAGGTCCTGGACAGGCACGATATCGCGGACGACCGCACAGCCAGATGCCAAGGGCGTACCAGGCCTCCTGCATGGGAATAGTTATGCGCCCCAGCTTATGACAGTCGCGTGTGCCACAGCGACTTCATGCCTGCAAGATGCATGGGCGATGGGGTCGACACATGAGGGCCATGAAGCTCGGGATCCCTGAGTGCGTCGATCGCTCGAGTGCGGAGGAGGATGCTACGCCTGGCCGTTTTCCCAAGCACATGCTACCGATTGCGGGCATCCAGACCCAGCAGTCTGCCAACTGGACACGCACATGGCCCACGTTCGGAAGTCTTGGCACGACTGCATACGCAGTGCCAAATGACATGGTCGCGGAAGCCGAACCCAGGTTATACACGAAACCGGCCTTGAACTGCAGGGTGTCTCCCATAGGGTCTTCCATGTCAAATGGGCACCTGCGGCACTGGATGCCGAAGACCGACTTATCCTAATTGATATGGATGACACCTTTTGCCGCACCACGTTGGCTGACGATGTCCAGGCGGTGCTCGACAAGGTCGACCAGCTGGTGCACGCGGTCGGGCACTTCAAGACTCAGGAGTTGAAGGAGTGGGCGCTGGCTGCATTCACTGGCGGTGCTCGGCAAGCCCACAGGTTTGCCCAGGTGCGCCAACTGCAAAAGGTACTTGAAAATTCAGGCAGCCATGCCCTTCCCAGCGAGCAGACGGCCACGCGGGCCACCATCTGGACGATCCACAACCAATAACGCCTTGAGCTCCCCGCTGACTTCCACGAGTGGTCGAAGATACTAAAAACCCAGCTGGCAGATCTCAGGGGCGTGCGCAGACGCATTCCTCTGAGAACTGATCCAGGTCAAGTGAACCTCCACCCGAAGGCGCCGGGCGTCGTCTCATTTTGCGGCTTGCTGACTTTGATCGACCCGCTCCACTGGCGCGAACGTCTGCGTGCCTGGCCAGATGGGCGGATCCAAACGAGGATGGTTCACCTTCCGAACAGTCAGGAGGCCATCGACTGACCACGCTGATCCAGACCATTGCACGTATATGGAGTCGTCTTCGGCGCCCGATCTCACGCCAGAGGGAGCACGCCAACTTCATTGAGGCGCTCTGGAGGACCAGATCGGGAGAGACGTCGGTCGACGCGGCCTACTCCCAATATGTTGTCAGAGCTGGCACAGGTTCGAGGCGATGCCTCTGTGACGGTGCTCATGGAAATCAGATTGTCCTCACAAGCTCAGCATGCGAAACCCTTCCGCTTGCCCTGGCTACTGCTGACCAGCTACCAGATCCCGAGGGTGATCAAAGGTTGAGGGCCGCTCTCTCTCTCTCTCTCTATCTATCTCTCTCTCTCACTTCGCACCAAGGCATCCTGGCCTCCTGCCGCACAAGGTTCGGCTGAACATGAAGGCGCTGAACTCCAGCATCATTCCGAGAGCGTTGATGGATGACGTCAGTGTCCAGTGGATTGACCGCAGTGCGCAGGGCGCTGGCGTCCTGTTCGCGGGGGTAGGCTGGTTCGCGGAGCGGACTGGTGGTCCAGGCGACCAAATCTGGCTGCGTAGCCACGGGCCACAAGGCCACGAGGGCGACATCCGCCCTGACGCGAGGGCCGCGCATCGAAGCTTTCACTCACGCGCGGCACCTCGGTCACAAGCTCTCCGGAGGGCGAGTTCGGCGAACCCAGGGGTGCAAGAGGTTGACTGCGCTCGTGGCCGCGAGCGCCAAGCTCCAGGCATTGGCGCGCGGCGCCGAGGAGAGGGCGCGGACGCCGCGGCGGACTGGGCTGCCCCCATCGGCAGCTCATGGCGCTGGCGTGAGTGGAGTGGCCGAGTCGATTCTCAAGAACCTACAGGTAGGAGAAGAAGCTACGTCAAGTACAGAGGATGTTGTTTCAATCCGCTTGGGGAGGGGCCTTGCCTAGCTGTGGGCGGCGCACGGCAGAGGGGCACATCCAGTGCCAAGGGTGCTGTTTTGTCCAGCTCGGGGGGGGGGGGCTCGTCTAGCTGAGGGTGGCGCACGGCAGAGGGGCGCGTCTCGTACCAAGGATGTTTCTTTAATCAGCTGGGGGAGGGGGCTCGTCTGGCAGCGGGCGGTGCACAGCAGAAGGGGCACGTCTAGCACCGAGCAGCGCACAGCGGAGGGGTTCGCCCAGCACCAAGGATGCTTGCTTAATCAGCTCGGGGGAGGCCTCGCCTAGCAGCGGGCGGCGCACAGCAGCGGGGCACGTCTGGTATCAAGGATGCCACGAACCGCAAGCCGACGATAATCAACTACACCTCCCTGTAATCATGGACCTATATGAGTATCCCTGGGCTGTATGTGGTTTCAAGTGGACATAAGAGCCACAAGAGGTTCGGGGGGCAAACTTTATCATAATCCCCAAAGTTCGCAGCTCTGATCATCACATAAGTCAGACCACCATGAGTAAACCTTACTGTCAGTTTTCTGCGGATGCATCAAACTAAACGCCAATTTGCCAGTACTTCAGACTGTTTCACATCATCACGCTTCCCCCGTGCTCCCCAGGAGGCCCCAGAGTGGCTCACAAGAGGGATCATGGATGCTCTGTTATCGAGGTTTTTGATGATCGATCCAAGCATCCTAGCATCGAGATCCCCAGGAAACGTTCACAATCCCTCCTGGGCCATGAGCTTTATCATCCCTTCTGGAACAGTAAGGGAGGCACAATGTTAATAGTTTGGCGAAAAACCTCCCACTCGCGTTTTTTCCTCACCGGCCACCCCAGGCCCCTGGGGGGAAATCCCTGGTGCCGCCATGCTTCTGTCCAGGGTTGTTCAGGGGGTTCTCCAGCATCGGGGAGGGCATCGGGAAAAATCAAAACCCGTTTTTCTGTATGTTCGTCGGGGGTTTAAAGCTCATCAATCAACTGTTTTTTATGTTGCTGTTTCTGGGGTTCCCCGGCCTCCCCGAGAAACTTAGAAAACACAAAAAACAGTCCGTGTTTGTCCAGGGTCGTTCGTTGTTTGTTTCGGGGGTCCCCAGGCACCCCCAGGAACCCAACTAAATCTCTCACTCGGGTTTGTTTTCTAAGGTTGTTCCTGATTGTTCTGGAGTTTCCCCGGCGACACCAGGAGGCCCCCACAGAAGCCCTCACTCGTTTTTGGTGTCAACGCGTTGCTTTTTTTTCATACATTATATATATATATATATATATATATATATATATATATATAGATATTGTCATTGCCGGGCCCCAGAAATCCACAAATTTTTACCTGGCGAAGGACCCAACTTTTTGCAGTTATGAATACCATCGTTGCGGGTATCACCTTCGGGGGGTCTCCTCATGGGCCAATGAAGCATGCAAAGGGTGTGCCGATATGGCCGGGCTGCCATGTGGGCGCTGCCACTGGGGCTTTAGGCGGAATCCACGATGAGGCCGCGAGCGTGCGAGACGCGCGCCGCAATGGGGCCTTCGGTGGAGCTCCCTATGGGGCCACGAAACTTCGCATTGGGTTGGGAATGCATGCGGACACCGTTACTGGGGCCTTCGGTGGAGCTCCCTACCTTCCTATGGGGCTACGAAGCGCTGTACTTGGTGGGAGAAACGCATGCGAAGCACCCTGGGGGGCCCCAGGACGGCCCCAACAGCGCCCAAGAGCGCCCCAAAAGCGTCCCACGAGGGCCCCAAGAGGCGGTTTGCCTCCTCGGCTTCCATCCCTGCTCCTCTAAAGTAACTCCTCCCTGTCGCACCCCGAGGCCGGTCGAAAGGGCGGGCTGGGCGTTTCGCCTCAGACTTTCTCACCACTTATTATGAGCCTGCAGCGTAAACTTTGCAACAGCTTCACGGATGGAGGCCGGGTCGCCTTCGAAATGTGGCCCCCGCCGCAGCTCCGAGCACCTTCGTCTCAAAAGTTTGCAGCAGCTTCGCAGATGAAGGACGGATCGTTTTCTAAATGCAACTATGCAATTCTCGCATTAGCGCCGCGCGCATGCGTCTTGAAAGTTACCGAAGGCTTCACTGATGGAGGGCGGCTCGCTGTCAAAATGTTGTTCTCGCTTTAGCGCCGCGCATATTCGCTGTGATAGCTCGCAGCGGTTTCAAAAACTCGCACGGTTAACGCCCCATGAGTAATGTTCTGGCACGATGTAAAACTGTCAGGGCGCGCCAGCTCAGTTGACTCACTGCGCTGAAGTTCCAAAAATGATGTTGTGGCACGTGTCAGGATCGTCAGGACGCAAAGGCAACGGTGATTTGCGGTGTCGAAGTACCAAGAACAGTGTTCTGGCACAGTTCTGGATTTTCGAGCCGTCGTCTTCAAACGGAGCACTTCCCTCAGTGAAAATGAATCCTTGTCGGGCCTTATGAAGGGGGACTTTGGAGAAGAGTTGATTGCAATATCGTCGCTGAGTCTTGGGCTTACACTGGTCCTGCCCCTCCTCCTCTTCCTCCTTCTCCTCCCCACTCTCCCCCCCTCGTTCCCATTCTCCATGGATCCACCGGGCCCTGCTTCACTGCATGTGTCCCTTCTTCCCTTGTCCACTCACCTCTCATGGGCGGGGTTTTTGACGGGCTGGCGGGGATGCTTTTTCGGTCGCGTCCGCCAGCGGAAGCGCAGGCGTAGTCAGAAGCGCCCCGGGACACGGCAGCTGGCGGGGATGTTTTTCCGGTCGCGGCCGCGAGACGACGGTCAGGCGGCAAGAGCAAAGTCCGGGACGCGAACTAGGCGAATTAGCTACAGCAGGCACAGGCCGGCCGGCCCCTTCACGCAGCAGCCGCGAGGCTGGAAGGGGGAGCTGGCTGTGGACGACGTCCTGAGAGCTCGAGCACGTGCACAGGACAAAGTGTCTCGGAATTCGGTGCTTACCATGGAACGACCCACACAGTAAAGACGTGGACCAAGATGGTCAAGTCTGTCATGCTGGGGGATGGCAAGTGGGAGGCCATTGGAGTGAGCTGGCGGGGATGCGCGAAGCGTGGCGAATTCGGTGTTAGGCTCGGACCGGCCATGCAACAGGTTGCGGACGTGCTTGTCCAGGCCGAGAGGGGCCAGCTTCTTGCTCTCCTTCAGCAGAAGCGGGATTATCTTTCACGGGCTGCTCAGCTGAAGAGTCGGAGGTCGGGGGGTGAGATCGCACAGGAACGGAGTCCCCCACGAGGAAATCGGTTTCGGTTTCGCGATCGCGTCGCGCGCGGGCGAGGCGAAGCTGCGCGGGCGCGCGAGAGGAATGACGACGCCGTGGCTAGGGGCCGTGGAGCCGTTTGACCGCCACCCCCGCCCGCCAGGCGCCGGTGCCAGGGTGCCCCGTCGGTGGCGCGGGGGTGCCCCGTCGGTGGCGCGGGGCCCCGACGGTGGCTCGGGGCCGACAGCACTGGGCCACACCAGCGTACGCCCTCTTTTGCGAACTCTTCTCTGCCCACGGCAGAGCGTGAAAGTCAGCACAACTCTGACAATCCAAAACAGATCGCAGGGAATGTTCGACCAGTGCACAGCAATCGAGGAGAAACTAGGAGACTCAGCCGCCTGAGGCGTCTGCGGACTGGGGGCCCAAACAGGTCCCCGAATTCTGACGATCTCGAGACGCGTGGAACGGTTCCAGCACCACAGGGAGAAGGACGGCAAGATCGACGAGAGGGGTAGGAGAACGGCAGCGTGGACGACGAGGAAGACGGTGTGGATGGGGAGGGGAGGGCAGGGAGGACGAGGAGGAGAACGAGGCTTTCGAGAACAAGGCGCCCAAGGGCGGGCGCCAGGCGAAACCTTGGCTTCCCGCCCCCCAGCGCGGGGCGTCCACGAGGCGCCCACGGGCGGGCACCAGGCGAAATCTCGGCATACGCCCACCGCAAGAGACGCCCACGAGGCGCCCACGGGCGCCCACCAACCGGGCATCCGCCGAGACCGCGGCGCACACATCCAACCACTTAGACAAAGTATAAGTCGAAGGACCCCATACGTACGTGCAACCACTGTAGGGGGAAAAGACCTTGCGAGGAGTGACGGGGGAGGGAGGGGGATGGAAGGAGGGAGGGGAGGAGGAGTTGGCGGGAGGGAGGGAGGGAGCAAATGGGGGAGAGGAGGGAGGGGCGGGGATCAGGACTGCCTGCCCTGATGAGGGGCAATGTGAGGGGGGGACCAGCTCAGGGGGGAAGCATCGACCTAGACTCGGCGATACATCGCCGATCAATCGGAGACGGGCGACGATAGCGAATCCGCGTGCTCTTGGTCGGAGTGAGGCTATAGGGCCCCCATCGGCGATCAAAGGGCGCTTGGAGGTCGATGCACCCCCCAGGAGCCTATCCCCTCCTAACGCCGCCCATCGACCTGAGCACCCTCCTGCCCCGCGGGCCTTCCGACGATCTCGACCTTGAGGCGCAGGTCGTGCTCGAGGTCCATGAACATCGGGTGTTGCTAGAACTGCCCCTGGCCCAAGGTGCTCCCAGGATTTCCAAGGAGGCCCCCACGACCTTCAGAGCACCCCTCATGAGCGAATCGCTCGGGGCACCTTGGGCCAGGGATACCTTTAGCAACCCCCGAGAACACCTTCCCATTCTGCGCCGTTCCGGCGCCGGGGCCCACGACGACGATGTGCGCCTTCCCCTTGGCCTGCCGGCCGGCCGCCGCTCTCCTGGAGGGCATCGCCCTTGCACGGATTTGCTCGCTGGCACTCCGAGCACGCCTGCGTCAATGAGCTGACCCCGCACGCCGGGCAGCCCACGCTGGGCCAGCGACGGAGTGGCCCACGAGTACGCCTGGCGGAGTGCATCATCGCCACCGTGATTACCGTTATCTTGATAGCATCATCGTCATCGTAAGCATCATCACCACCACCATCAGCACCATCACCAACATCACCAGCATCCTCATCATCCTCATCATCATAGTACGTCAGGTTCGCGTCGTGCCGACCCCAGCGTCGGTTCCTGACACCGCGGGGATCGCTCAACCTGGAAGGATCGGCCGCTTCCGAAACGTCAGGTCTTTCAATATCAACCGATTCTGGGTCGCTGGCGGCGTTCAACGTTGAACGCCAGAGGCGGGGTCGCTAACGGTCGACACGACGCGAACCCGCAGTCCTCATCATCAGCACCGTCACCACCGCTTTCGTCGTCACCGCCCAACGCCCACCGTCCATCGCGCTCCACCATCAGCATCGATCCCCGACCCTCGGCCTGGCCTACGAGGCCGGAGTAGGAGGAGGAGGAAGAGGAGGAGGAGGAGGAAGAGGAGGAGGAGGAGGAGGAGGGAAGAGGGAGGAGGAGGAGGAGGAGGAGGAGGAGGAGGAGGAGGGAGGAGGAGGAGGAGGAGGAGGAGGAGGGAGGAGGAGGAGGAGGAGGAGGAGGAGGAGGAGGGGAGGAGGAGGATGGAGGAGGAGGGGGGCGGGGCCCCAGGCGAGGTGGCGGCCGGGCCGCGGAGGCCTTCGCAGGCGCCAGGGCGAAACTGGCGCGCGTCGCGATCGGCAGCTCCGCGCGGGACGCCGGCGCCGCGCCCTGGACGCGGGCGCTCTCGCGGAGGAGGAGGAGGAGGAGGGAGGAGGAGGAGGAGGAGGAGGAGGAGGAGGAGGAGGAGAGGAAGAGGAAGGATGAAGAGGGAGGGAGGGAGGGAGGGAGGGAGGAGGAGGAGGAGGAGGAGGAAGAGGAGGAGGAAGAGGAGGCGGAGGAGGAGGAGGGAAGAGGAGGAGGAGGAGGGAGGAGGAGGGAGGAAGGAAGAGATAGGAGAAGCAGGAGGGACAGGAGGAGGGCGGCAGCGGCAGGGGGCGACGGTTGACGGCAACGGAGACGGCGGCGGCGACGGCGACAACGGCGGTGACGACGGCGACGACGGCGGCGGCGACGGCAGTGACGACGACGTCGACGGCGACAGCGGAGCTCGCGGCACGCCCCCGACATGTCAATCCAGTCAAAGCTGGTCCCCAGGCCCCGCTCGACGCCCATCCTGGACAATTGTCTGAGCCGCGTCCAGCCGCAGTGGCGGGAAAGCGCAATAACTCACAAACACCTCGGGCAACCCTCGGGCAACTACTTGAAGCACTCTCTTCATGCGGGCACGCGGGAGTCCCGAGGTAGAACAGCCTCAACTTGAGTCTTGAACCTGGGCTTTGCACGGCAAACAAATCTGAAGACTTGCATCCCATCAGGGGTTGTGAGCCGTGTCTCACTGCGCGGCGAATGGACTCGGGGAGGCCACCATACCCTGGGCCCCGCAATCGCAGCTCGAGCCCTCGGGCACCTGCAGGTAGGCACGAGCAAGGGCAGCGAGGACGTACAAAAAAAGCGTCAAGGGCGTGGTGTTCAACACAAATTCGCGAACCTGACACCTACATATCCTTTCATCCTCCTCTTCCTCCCCATCCCCCTCCTCCTCCCTCCTTCTCCTTCTCCTCCTCCTCCTCCACCACCTCCTCCTCTTCCTCTTCCTCTTCCTCCTCCTCCTCCTCCTGCATCCCTTTCCCCAAGCGGTGTTTGCATTCAGGGGCTCTTGCTTCTCTTGCTAAGTAAGTGGGAGGGCCCACCGAGGATGCTTCACGCTGGCGCCCCGTGGGCGCCCCGTGGGCGCCCTGTGCCATGGGTGTCTCCGCCGAGGTGTCGCCTCGTTGGTGCCCCGAGCCCGCCCGTGGGGCGCCGCGTGGGCGCCTCGTGGGCGCCCCGTGGGCGCCCCCGTGCCCTCGGTGGGTCCGCCGAGGCTCCGCCCGGTGCCCGCCCGTGGGCGCCTCGTGGGCTCCCCGTGCCCCGAGCGGGCGACGTCACCGGGAGTCAGAGAATCCACCCCCGGAAAATAACCACGCCCACACGCGAAGTCGTTTAGTGAGTGAGCCCAGTGAAGGAATCGAACAGGGCAGGGCTGTTTAGAAAACGCCCAAGGCCGTTTAGTGAACGCCAATTGTCCGGTCCGGGTGGATCTTCCTCCCTTGAACAACATAGATCACACCACCTAGGTCACACCGCATGGCTTACACAGCGTAGCTCACACCGCGGCTTACACAACAGGGCTCGCACGACATGTGATACACAACCTTGATCCAACAGCATAACTAAAACCGCATGGCTTACTCCACGTGTAATATGCCAAATCCAGTGCAGTAACTGATTGGTTGGGGTCCCCACTGGCTTACCTGCAACAGAACTAGCCCCTCACTGACGCATCCCAAGACTTCGGATACTGAAGGTTGGAACTCACGACAACGAACGGATGGAGGGAATTCGTTTTCAAAATGATGCTCTCGCCTCAGAGCCGCGCACATCCTCCTCAAAAGCTTGCAACGGTTACAATGATGAGAGGTCGAACTTGTGCTCTCGCCTCAGCGACGCGCATAAGCGTTCACAAGGATGGGTAGAGCGCACGCCGTTTCCAATATGAGCCTGTCGCCTCAGCGCCGCGCCCACTCGTTCCCAAAGCTTGCACCAATTCCACGGATGGAGGGCGGTTCCCTTTCAATCTACGGCTCTCACCTGAGTGCTGCGCACGCTCGTCGTAAAAGTGTGCCATAGCTGCATGGAGCTCTAGTGCGACAATCCAACTGATCTTGCAAGGGGGGTATTGCAGCATCGCTGGTGCATCTTGGGTTTACTCGGCTCCTCCTCCGCCTCCCTCTCCTCCTGCCTTCCTCCCCAGGGGACGTCGGGGGCCCCTGGGAGCCCCAGGCGGGGCCGAAAGCGTCCAAAAACTCGGTATTCGATCCTCTCTCGTCGTCCAGACAATGGTCTACACGCCCACGCAGGCACTCTGAAGAAGCCTCCGGAAGCTCGTGCGGGTCTGCTGGGTATTCCGCAGTAAGCAAGCCAGCGGAGAATGCACTACGATCGATGCTATTCGCACGACTCGAGGGGAGAAACACAATGACCATGACCAGGATGTCGCGGGATCTTGTGGACGCCGAGCATGGTCAAAGTCCATGCTGGTCATTGCCCATTCCCCAGGTTGGCATACGAACTTACGGTGACCAAGATGAACGACTACCAAGATCGCAAGCAGCGTTTCCGCGTGAAGTCTAGGTCTTGGTCCTCGTTCCTTTCAGGGGGCGAAGAACGGTACAACATAAACTTTCAGCCGCCGGGGGAGCAGGCGTCCACGACGGCGGAACAATTTTTGTTCATACATGTCTTCGCCCGCTAATCCTTGCCCCTCCGACGAAGGCGCACAGCCCGCGCCCGCAAGCAACAACATCCTCCCCCAGTCGGGGAGACGTAAGACTCGGGTACGGGGAACTCGGGTTGGACCGACTGGGCCATCATAAGAATGACGCGGCCCAATCAGAAATTTGACGCGAGCTCCCGCTGCAAACATCCCACGAAAACTGGACCGTCAAAATCCAGGACGCGCTCGCCAAAAAACGCCGGCCAACCCGAGTTCCGGTTTACTCGAGTCTTACGCTTCCCCGCTCATGCCCACCCTCGGGCCACCTGTGTGCCACGCGGCGCGGTCAGCAGGCACGGGTTCCCCATGGCCTGCGGGCCGCGCACCCGCCCGGGGGGCCAGCACTGCGCGGCCCTCCTCCTCCTCCTCCTGCGCGGCCCTCCCCAGTCCATGCCTTCCGCCTGCCGCACGCCCCATCGGAATGTTGAAACACACACGCGCTCGCACACGCTCTCTGGCGTCGCGGCCACACGCGCAGCGGCGCGGCGTAGCACACGCGGAGCGGGAGCGAGACGCGCGCGGCCGAGCCCAGATCCGGCGGCATGGAGATGCTGGGCCCAACCGTAGAGGATCGACAGCATCGCTGGCGAGGCGGCAGTCGCGAGGGGAGCCGCAGAGGAGAGGGGGGAGAGGAGGACACGAGAGGCGTACCGAGCAGTGCGCAGTCCAGGCTGCAAGGGAGGCCCGCAGTGACGGCCCGCAGCGGAGGAGCGCGCACGGACGAGGCGTCAGGCAGCACGAGGACCCCGAGAACAGGACGGGACCAGGGATGAGAGAGCGGCACCCGCGGGGCGCAGACGACACGCACGCGAGCACACACACACACAACTACACACAACCACACACTTTTTAGATCCGCGGGCGCAAGCGCGCAAGCGTGGGTCGAGCAACGGGAGGGACACTCCAGAGGCGAATTGTGACAGAGCGGAAGGGAGGGCGCGCGGGGAGCGGAGGCCGCACTCCGGACGTGCAGTCCAGGAGCGGGTGCCGGTGGAGCACGGCGAAGTGCAGGGCGTGCGCGGAAAGGTAGAACACAAGGCCGGAGCGTTCAGTAGGGGCCCGCCCACAAGAAACCTTCCACGAGAGACCCAACCCTGAGACCCCAGGACGTCCATTGATTCTGGGCGTGGGAACGTCGCGCTTTCCATCGCAAAACCATCGAAACTCAAGAAACCCAGGGCACCCTGGAGGCAAGCAGGGTGTTTCTTGGCATGGGCCCCCACTGTAGACCCAGAGCCAGGGACACCAAGGAAAGGGTGAGCAACTAGGCAAAACTCCCGCATTCGATGACGAGGAGGCCAGGTGAAGACCAAAGCCTGGGGCAGAAGGTCAAAACCACCGTGGCGACGAGTATCGGCGACCAGGGACGGCAAAGGATGGTGCTGTGAAACAGGTACGAAGACCACGAAGCCAAATCCCAGCCAGGTGAACACGCACCAAGGGAGTGAGCCTCCAGGGACCAGCCGATCTGCACAGGCGCTGGCGCCGAGAGGGCACAGAAACCGTGCGGAAGAAGGCCGTGGGCAAAGTGAATTCTGCCAGGAAGGCGACTCCAGGTGGGAACGTCGACTACAGTCAACACGCATCAGAAGGACGCGAGAAGGATGCAAGGGCCTTGGAAGGCCGTTTCGAAGCTCTTCGAGCGGGGCGCGGCCAACGAAAGTGACCGAGGATGGACCGAGGAGGCAAGGCTGCAAGGGTACCCTTGGGAACGGTGCCCATCCCTACTATGCGGGTTGACTGTAAGCCAGACGCCCCCACTGGGAGCACCAGCGCCAGGCTGGGCCGCGCAGAGCCGGGGGCAGCCCGGAGGCTGAGGCCAGACAGCTGGCGGACCACCGAAGCGCCAGGAGGCGCTGGCGGGGAAGGGGGGGACACCCCAGATACGTTTTTGACGGCCCCGAGGCCCGAAAACGGACCCTGGAGGCCGAAAAAGGCAAAAAACCTTCCCGAACCCGAATCCAGGACCTCGAACCCGCCCGCCCCTCCTGCTGGCCGGGACCAGTGCTGGGCCACCGCAGACCCCCAGCCGGCTCAAGGCCTAGAACATCTCGCATGCGTGGAGATTGCGCGTAGAGCCCCCCCTGGATGGGGTCCGAGTAGATGAGGTCGGAGGATCTCGCCGCATCGCACATACATTGGCGAAGCATCGCATATGCATCGGCGATGCATTGGCGATGCACCAGCGACGCCGGCGATGCATCGGCGACGTCAGCGTGGAGAAATTCGGGACCCACATCGAGCCGCATCGCCGATGCATCGGCGATGCGGCGCCATCCTCCGACCCCATCTACTCGGGCCCCAGCTGAGAGGCCCAGAAGAACATCTCGCATGGGTGGAGATCGCGTGTACGTGG